GTGGCCGCCACTGAAGTGAGCCTGCAGAAGAGTGACGCTCGCTTGTAGGGCTGCTGACTGCTTGCGAAACATTGATGAGGTTGTATTGTGTGAGTGCTTTTAGCTATAGCGGATGTGTTAAAGAACAAGGCAACATTTAGAAGATGTACTCAATCCCTGCACCACTCTCGGTAGCTGGTGCGTCTCTGCTGTCACCCACGGTGGTCTTGCTCCAGACAGAGGGCCCAGGACTCTGCTAAAGCCCTGCCAAGACCCTGTGTCCTGCCCAAGCTGGTGGCTGGTGGCCATGCTTGGACCACCGCTGCTGTGGAGTCTGCATCAGGGGGAAAAAAAGAATATTTTATTATTTTTTTCCCCCCCACAGCTTTAGGGAAGCACATTGTGGGAAGAGTATTTGAGGCTTGTCTGGAGAGGGGCAGGATGGTCAGGGGAAGCTGTTCCTGGAGCAGACTCCCTGCTGTGGACACGAGCAATGTCCCAGCACAGAGGCCATCTTCACCCTCCCTCAAATGCTACAGGGTGCATCTGGCCCTCAAGGACAAAGTCGCAGGTATGGGATGCTCCTTGCTATGCTGCTCTGCAAACTGCGCTGTCTTCTCCCTGGCCGAAGAACCATCTCAGCAGTACTTGTAAATCATTCAGCAGCATGGCACGGTGTGCTCTGTGAAGTGGGCTAATGAACGATATTGTACAGCTTTGCTTTTTTTTTTATAGGCCCATTAGCTGTCATTTTCTGGCAGCTCTGCTACAGCCCTGGTACCTCAGCGCCCTGCTTAAATCTAGGGGAGCGAGGCAGGCAAGGCAGCACTTTGGCCCCCCAAATCAGGCCTCAGTTAAGCAGCACAGGGAAACCATCTTGGGATGGGGTAGGAAAGAAAAAGGCAGCTGGTGCTCCCCCTGTCAGTAAGGAGTCTGCTGTAACCACGATGCTTTGACACTTTTCTGTTTGCGACATGAGTGCAGTATCATTTTTACCAGGGTTGTCTTGAGCTATGAAGAAGGAGAAGGACCACTCACCATCCACGGGGTGACAAGGTTTATCTATTGCTCCCTTTAAGGGAAAAGGTGTAAAGATACTTCTCGGAAGTATTTTTATTACAAAAACTCATTATTACCCTAAACCTACATGAAACGTGTTCAGGAAACTTGAGAATGATGACACTCCTACAAGATTTTAGGAGAGGATTTTGTTACTTTTCTTTAAGAACAGCCCTATAAGTATCTGTAAGATTAACTGTAAGGAGAGGGACAGCCTAGTCCACGCTTCAGAAACCACTGTGACCTGCTAGAATGGACTTCAGAGGCAAGGAAGTTGGGACAAAGACAGAAAGTAAGTTAAAATGTAAAGAAAATTTGGCTTATGGGTACTGCACATGCTGTGCGTCACTGTCCTTTATTTTACAAGCTGGGCAATAAAGACCAGTTGCTCACACCAGAGTTCTGGGTTCCTCCTTCTGTCCTGTGAAATCTGCACTCCCAGCCCCCCCTTCCTCTGTGCCTCCCATCTCCCCAGCACCCCTCCCTGCCCCAGGGAGCTGCCAGGCTAGTTTTCCTCTCCCGTAGCTGTCTGCTGGCCCCTCTGTGCCTTTACTGTCTCAGTGACTGGGGAGACTCACCAAGATCCCTGAACGCTGCTGAAAACAACCACATTCTTGGTTGGTTGCCCGAGAAATGCATTAGATCAAGAGAGCATACTGCAAAGTTTGCTTTTGCTCCTGGTTACCCTGTGCTGAAGAAGCTGTGAACTACAGGGACCCCACATGCTGCTCTGGCACATGTTCTATTAAAAAGAAAAAAAGGAATAATCTTTCTGCTTATAGAGAGTTGTTTCTTCTCTTTCTCAAAGCTCTGCACCTTGGGAAGAGCCTGAACCACCACTCAATACGGCATTCAGGCAGGGCAGGCTGTATACATGAGGAGAAAAAAAGGCAGCAGTGTTTCAAACAGACTGCCCATGCAGCCCTGGGAGAAAGTCCCTTAAAGGGTTATACCTTAAGCACACAGGCAAACCTACAACCACTGCTGGCTCCTGAAAGCACGTGGAGACACTGGTAAAGGCTGGCTCAGGTCAGCTTCACCCTGAACACATCCCAGAACAGACACACAGCCCCACCAAGAAGGATCGATGAACAGCCACACTGCCCGAATGTCCAGGAGGTGCCAACTCTGGCATTCAGGACTATGCTGGGAAAACAGCACTGAGAGGGAGAAACAAGGACTTGGGAACTATTTTTGGATTTTTCCACTGACGAGAGATGACTGGGGCACAGCATGTGGGCTGTGCCTAAGCACATCACACATGATGGTCAACAATAGCAGAGGAACAAAGCATCCCTTAAATGACATAAATTAACATCTTTAAACTAAGCTCATTGCGTAAACCATCTTTCTTGGGATTGACTAAAATAAAGGAGCAACCCCAGCAAGCAGTGGCTCACATGTCAAGGAACAAGTGGAAAAAACCTTGAGTATGTCCTTCCCCATAGTCTCCACTCAGCCCTATTCCCCCAAAAGAGGTAAGAACATCTATTTAAGTGACTGTATTTCACAAGGGAGAGACACAATGACAGAGTGAGGACATGGAATGATGTGTTCTGCTGACAGTGAAAGACAACACCAGTACCTGGAAAATGTGAACTTTTATAGTCCTTACACAAGCAAGGATTATTTAAAGGGGGAAGGAGGCACAGTAGTATTACAGTGCCAGAAAATTAAGCTACTCGGTGCCTTTGGACTGAAGTTACTGGAATTCATATAAAATCTATCACTTAGAGATAACATTAATCCTGAAATTCAGATACGCAGCATTTGCCAACTTTTTAGGGAGAGGTTTCTATCTTAGGACATAAAAAGCATCAAAATGTACACAGTATACAAAGCTTCAGAGAAAGACTAAGACATGTTTCAGTGTATTTACCTCATCTCTCTGTAAAGTGTTAATTTATTGGAAAAACGTGAAATGAGACAAGCCAACATACATACCACTAAAACTTTGCAAAGAGGAAAATAATTTTATTCCAGTGTTAAAACGGTGTGATAAAAATCAGACCTTTAACATTTGCTAAACTTTGTGCAAACACATTAAGAACCTACATACTTTCCTATTCGGCTATCAACATTCGATCGAATGCAAGAACAGGCGTTTACGACACTACATGCTCACTGTACGGAGGCGCACTAGGAGTCAGAGACCAAGGGTTTTAAGAATGGTTACATTGATAAAGGACTCATCTACCCGAGAACAAAGACATTTCTCTACTCTGCAGTTCAGGCTATTTTAACATCAGTTCTTCTCAAGCTACAGTGGGAAGCCTAGCAAACCAAACAAGCAAGAAGACAGTTCCTGCATGAATATTTTGATATATTCTTCCAAGAGCTATCTGCCAGCAACAGAATACTGCTGATTAAGTTATACAGTTCAGCAATAACATGTCTGTGGTGGGGAAAAAGACAATTGTTCTCTGGAAATCAGTAATACAGACATCCATTCTTAAGAGTTAGATTATAGTCACAGACTTTAGGTGCAGAAATGCCATACGCAGTACAATAAAAAACGACTTCTTGAATGGACTGTGCTGTAAGAGAATGAGGCTGTATTACACATATGTGGCTGGGTTTTTCCCCACGCTGTCCTATGAGGTAGGCAGGCATCCCACCCATTTCACCGGAAAAGAAGAGGCACTATAGCTCACCAACTTGTTACAGTCGTATCACAAACATGACAAAATAATTCAGTAACCCCACTTACCCAGAACTGTTTATAGAGTTGCATAGATTAAGGACCCCGTGTGCCCAGAGAAGAGACACCAGGTAGTCAAAAAATCTGAGAGGAATTCCCTTGACTTCTCCCCTCGGTCTTCCACATAAAAAGAACACCTTAAGGGAAGTGACATGGAAGTAAAAACCAGGTTTTAATTCTGAGGAATTTGTAGAGAGCTCTTTAAAAACCAGATCTGGGTTGAGACTGCTGAAGCAAAGGCCGAGGTAACTGCGGCACCGGCCTTTCTGTACCTTCTCTCCACAACACGGAGCTCACGCAGAAGTCAGTGTTCCGACATCTCTACTGCGTTGTTGCTGGCCGTGCACCTCCGTCTGAGCGCATCCCGCAGGCTCCTCCTTCCAACCGGAATCAAACCGTCCCCTGGGGCTGCTCCATCCATTCCCTGGGGCACAGCAGCTGGCAAGCGTCCTCCAGACAGGAACAGCTTAGGGAGACCCAAACCTTTTGAAAGCAACCACGCAGCTCCGCACAAGGAACGCCTCTCCTGAACTAGAACACAAGTTTGTAAGGTATATCCACACCTCTGCACATTTACTAAAATCCAGAATAAAACGCACAACAGAACAAGTTCATGAAAGTTTACAGAACTTAAATATTTATTTTTAAACCATTTAAAACCCCCCAAAACATTGAAGTAAGCTTCATCTATAAACAGATTTACAAGACTAACAGCTACAGAAGCTAGAAGAGCACTACAACTTGTTTCTGTGATGCAGTTATTTCGTAAAGCTTCAGATCAACTGTATTTACAACTTTTGCTGCTTTTATATTTATAAAAATATTTATTTAATCCATAACATTGTTTTCAAAAACTATTTCCAGACTTTTTTTCTCAGATATAAATTCTAATTGAATTTCAGTTATATAGCAGATGAAAGTTTTAAACAGAAACATTTTTTTTAAAATTAAAACAAGGAGTTAAAAGTAATTTTTTTTACAGTGTAGGCACCATTGAAAATAATTGTCCTTGGCATATCTAACCACCATCTCTCACAAGTGTCCTTTATATAAAAACGATGTAATGGCAACAGCTGACTAGAAATGCAGTATTTACTTGCACACCATTACTTTTTCAATATTTGGCAGATATATTTCAGATTCTTTAAAATGACTTTTGTGCAAAAACAAAATGTGCAGGTCTGAACCATAAAATAAACACACCCAGCCTTTATCAAAAATAAATTTACACCAACAGTTCCACAGCTAAGCACTGAAAAACAATCCCAGTTCAAAACTTCAGCATAATATACATACTGGGTTGAAAAAGGGAAAAAAAGAACAGAAACGAAGATATTACCCATCTAGCAGTACCATAAATATATAACTGAAAGCAACTTTATAGTCTTACCTACTTTTCAAGAAAAAAATTAAAAAATAATCACTCTGTACTGCACAGTACTACCTTTTTTTGTGAAAGAATATCTATAACTCAGTTATTTGCATATTAACTGGTAAATACATATTTAAAATACACTTTCAGAAAATTATAAACAAATTATGTTGATGTACTGTATTTAATGTATTTAAGAACAAAAATGTGTATAAATATCTTACAGGAGAAACAACACCACCACACAGAATGCTGGTGTTACACTTATACCTGCTCGTGAGGTATGTATCATGTGACGCTCGGCTTCTCTGGCTCCCTTCCACCCAGGCATGTATACTCAGAGGCAAAAAATTAAATTAAGTTAAATTGGACTTCAGGTTTTGTCCATTATTGCCAAAAGCCCCACCCCCTCAACTGTATTGCTCTAAATTTTCCTACCATGATGATATAAGATTGAATTACTACTTCAAAACCTGTTCTAAAAGGTAATACATATACTGTACATCAGGATATACCTGTTGCTACATATCACCTGCAAACTACTGACATATTGCTCTCAAATATATTTAATCATAGAGCTGCCTAAAATACTGTACCAATTTAGAATTATAATAGATACTGTTGCAGGTTTGTTTGTCAGGGCACAATAACTATATGCTGGTTGAAGCAGGTGCTACAGCAATACCCTTGCCACTACGTTACATGTTTTGTATACGCTTGTGAAAAAGCTATTTTCTCTGAAGCTCGTTAGTGATTTACAAAAGTTTAACTCATGAATACAAAAGACCTGTACAACCCCATGTACAGGAACAAAATAGCATCAAAACATATTGTACTTGCACTTTTCTATGAACTAAAGCAATGGTTATTTCTAAAAGCAAAACCGCACCTCAACATTTATCAGATTAAACAGGTGAAACTACAATATTAAAAGTTGTTCTTTACAAAATAATTTCCTGAAAATATAAAACCATGTGCACTGCCACAAAATAGCTGAGTAGGCTCTTTCAAATCCTCAATCACCATCAATATGTTGCAAAGATCCAAAGGCACAAGGAGCTCATGAGCTAAGCACTGCCAAGCTTGAAGTAGGTCTGGTGGGTTTCACTGGGTCCATATGAAACAGCAGTCAATTATGTGAAGTTTCTTAGGATGAGTCATTAACAGAAAATCTACAAATAAAAAATACAAGCAAGAATCTGTTAGTCATACTGTTTCAGCTTGGCAAACAGCAGCCAGCTATTTTCGCGTCACTAAACTACTACAAGTCTTCACCTCGACAGTTAGTTCATGGGAAAAAAACATCAGAAGTTAAAGATCCTCCTTCTCCCTTACTGGCTATAAATACACTTCAACAAAATTCCTAAATGAAATGAAGCAAGGTGTAACAGTGAAATTGCTGCCCTAGAATACCAAACAGATGGAGTTGCAGTTATTATTAGTTCTAGTCTCAAACAGAAATGTTATGTATAACTAGCAAAGCCAGAAGTTCAAAGCCCTGGACGCAGGAGATCTTTCACCTATCATTACTCAAATTTGCCCAACACACGCAGTTCACTGTGAACTAACTTTTCCTATGCATAAGAACTTAATTTAAAAAATTTCTTTCCAAAGAAAATTACTTCTTGTTTTTAAAACAATGCATACAAAAAAATCTTTAACTTACTTCTGAAATTTCTCCATAAGTTTCTTCACCATCTTATCTGTGATCCCTGGACATGTTGTTTCTGCCATATTGATACTTTTCTCAAGTTCCTCAATCGCTTTCTTTCTACTAGCATTATTTGTGTCCTGCTGTTTGAGCTGAGTAGCAAATCAAAAGAGACAAAACTTATAAAAGTTATCAGACACTTGGGCAGTAACTTCAAGTAAGTTCTTTTAAGTTAAGAATTACCTCAGCAAACACAGGAGTGATTATCATAGTTAAACAACTCAGGGTTTTAACAAGATCCTGATCCTGCAAGTTAACAAACAAGGATTACATTAGCATATTCCTGTACAACATATACACTATATTTAACACAGCATTATGTGGTTTTGAAAGTGCAATTAAATCCCAAAAAGCACTTGAACAACAAATGTTATGTGATGTGGAAACAGATGCATCCTGACATACCTGAAACAATCTTATTCATTGTCAGAAAAACAGTTTAATTTTTCCTCTCTAATACTGTATGTCTTCAGAATTCAAATCTCTATGAGCTGATACTGATCTAATTAGTACACGATCTCTTCTGCGGTTAAAGCTGACATGGGCATAGGAAATATCCCTAAAAAAGCATAATTTCTTGAACTACAGAAAGGTAGCCAGTTCTTACAGAAGGTGAATAATTACTAAGCTCTATGACTGTATTCCTAAAAGTGGCTTTAGAATCGGCACTTACAAAGAAGAACTCTTCAGACTGTACCTACCGTCCCATTCTGTAGCTTCTTTGCATCCGGCTTCTTTCGAACTGTAGTAAAGCTCCACTCAGGATGAGAATTATTTTCTTTGTTACTAGACTCCCTAAAGAAAAAGGGTATGATGTACATAATACTAGCCACAACATAATGCTAAGCAAGCACAGATAACCCAAATACATAACAAATGTGTATGAATTAGTTCTGTATTCCTTAAAGTAAGAAGAAAATTGTGTATTGAAACATTAACTGAACTATGAAAGAACAACTTCGGAGGCTGAATAAACTGAAATACGATCAAAGCAAACAGATATTATCTACCCATAAAGCTTACCTTCGCCCTTGGCATCCCATTTAAAACAGTTATCTGATATCCAGAACAGCAACAGACTGACAGGAGGCACGTTGTTTCACAGGCATTTTGCAAACTTCTTTATACACCTCAACCTTGCTCTGCAATACTTACAATTATGATTCATTGTTTTTGATATAACCACTAGCCTCAGACTAGGAAATACATGGCACTTAAACAGAACTGAAACTGAGTTCAGGGAGACACGGTTTAAAGAGGTAATGAGCACACAGCTTGACTTATGTCTTAGGTCCAAACAAGGGGTTTTCTGGAAAGAAGCCAATGAAGAACACAGAAGAAGAGGAGCTAACTACACAGAGAAACTGCAACAAAACTACTTCAGTAACATTATAAAAAAACCAAAACACAAACTAAAACCAAAAACTAAACTGAAAATACACTTACGAATCTGAATCATCGGAACCACTTTCATCACTACTATGTCCTTCTGCTTTCCATCTCTTAAACCTATCAATCAATTCTGTCAGATATGAAGTCTTCTTGGCATTTTTCATAATGAATTTGTGCTTCAGAAGTTCTTTTGCAGTAGGGCGCTGTAAGAAACACTTTAAATATTTAATGTTCTGCTGCCATTTAACGATTCTAAATGTTAATAGGGGAGATTTAGTGAGACAACTTACTTCTAGAGCTAACTCATCTAGTATCAGGAAATTAGCGAAACAGGAAGTCAAGAAAAGCCAGTAATACACATTTACAAGTGCTCTAAAAATATGATCAAGTCACACATCGCTTATCCTTCTGTGCTAGAAGGTACACACCCAGGAAAATGACTAATCAAAATTCTCCAGTGCAACATTTCCTTGTAAGCACAACTCAGTCAGACAGCAAAAACCTCTGCTCAAGAAAAAGATCAAAGATCCTCTCCTCTGCTCAAGCTTCTCTTCTAACATTATCCCAGGTAGGTGTGCATTTTAGGAAGCTCTCTCTGCCACTGTAATTTCTTTCAGCACTCTCCCTCCTCCTTCCAGTATTTTAAACAAAAGGGTGAAGACACAGCTACCATTTACAGTGTAAAGTCACGTCACTAAGATTAATTTCAATCAACTACGATACACTACACCAGCAAAGTATTTCACAAGCATGAGAGCAGAAAACAAACCCAAGACGTCTATGTATGCACAAACACATATAGATCTACTCACAAACGTTGGGTCTTTGTTCAGACACGCATCAATGAATTCTTTAAAAGGTTTACTGAATTCTCCTAATAAAGTTGGAGGATTGTTTTTCGGAATGAGAAACAGAACTCTCATCGGATGCATATCAGAGTTGGGAGGCTCCCCTTTGGCTAGTTCAATAGCAGTGATTCCCAGTGACCAGATGTCAGCCTGAGAAAGGGAAAAGTTACTTTTAGCACAAAATTAAGGGCTATCGCGACAAAGGATTATTAAATAACTCAAATCTTCACATATACTGCAACTACATATTAAAAAATTTTGTTCTAAGTTGATAATGCACAAAGATTCCTTTCAAATACTTATCGGCTATAATTCCCAAAGACCTGGCTGATTTAATGAGTCTTCAACGACAAACATCTACATCACTTTTGCTACACACCGTCACTGCTCTAACACTGTCACCAAGTTAAACACACCCCTGAATACAGGTACTTTTGGAAAAAGCATCAGAAACATTAAGTCTTCCTGGTTTTTTCCCCCCCCTATAACAAACTATAAACTGCCACAAACATCCTATGTCTAATTAGGATTTCGTTTATATAGCAAAACTGCATGCTGACATTTTTAAACTGTTTTTCAAACTTGTTTGACACCTCACTCTAAAGGAAAAAAGCAGAGTTGTACCAAATCCAGCTCGTGATCACTTCATTTCCTTCCTAACAGACTGCTTGGTGAATTTAGCAAGGAAGTTATCAACAGCCACTTAGACCTGAAACACCTAGTTCACAGTCTAAGTTTCTAAAGAATAATGAAGTGGTATTTATTTTAGCTAAAGGTAAGCATTATGAACAATTCTATCTTTGTACAAAATATGAACTATAAAATTATTTTCTAATTTAGAGATTTTTTCCCATGTGAAATATACATTCCTTGCAACTTTTAGATAAGCAACAACGGCTATTAAGGTCACCACAAGTGTTGCTCATCAGAAAGTGGCTGACAATGGTTGACTACACTTGGCACAGAAGTCATAAACCTAAGTTGCCCACAGAGTAAACAAGGGCTGCAATTTGCATCTTTCCAATACTCCTTTCCTTGTGAACACAAGAAATAAAACATTTGTACTCAATATTGAAAAATTAAAATGATCTCATTGTTTATCACTGAAGTATCACAATCAACAATTGCATACTGGTGCTAAATGTTTTGAGAAAGGAGATGTGGCTTGTAAATCTCTGCTACTACAAAAATGAATGAATTTCTATTTTGTTTTCTGCTATTCTGAAGCAGGGAGAGAAGAAAGGTTAAAATTCAGCCTGAATGCCAAAATATCCATTAGTATTAGTCTAGAAATTGAGGTGTATCCTGTCTAAAGGACCTTGCATTTTCTGTGCTTTCCCACCAGACTTCTGGCATAGAAAGAAAAAGGGGAGGGCAGTGCTCTTGCAACATACTGAGGAGATATGGAAGGCAAAATATTAGGTTACTGTGGGAATGTAAATGAAGGGGTAGTACAGCTGATTTACCCACAGGGCAAGGAGAAGAGGAATTATTCTCACTTTGTCTGGACAACACACATTTTTAAAGCAGAGTAGAGTGGTTTTCCAAAATGCCCCTAAGGAGCACGTTACAGCTGTACCACTGAAACTCTAAACATGACAACAACGTACCCCCCCTTATCAGCAAGCTTGTGACAAGTACACAGATTCCTTCAAGTCTGAAGGATCCTGGGAAAGTCTCCTGGAGTGTAGTATCTTCTGGACATCTTAGATATTCAACAGTCTTTCTTTATGTGCGTGAGTACAGTTGCGTGTTTACTTTTGGAGAAAAGCTGGTAGGAAAGTATTACTTTGCATACACCAAGAAACTTAAATTTCTTGCTCTTATTTAAGGTTGCATGTGTAGGGTGTAAAAAGTCCAATGCCAGCACCGAAGTACTTGCCACAGTCTCTAGGTTGTCCTGTGGGTGTATATACGAGAGAAGAGGTGACCATTACCTCCCATCGTCATTTTTAGCAGCAGTTCCCAATCCTCAGAAAAATACGGAGGTGGCTTGCTTTCTACCACTACTTCACATAGAGAAACTCTCCTCTGCAATCAGTCACCCATCAACAGCTCCCATGAAAAAGAACCATACAAAGTACCATAAAGGTACTACAGCTACCCAGCCTGTAGTTCCAAGTTATCGAGAACAGTCACCTGCATTAAAATCTTCATCATTACACAGGTTCTCAGAAATACCATTAAAGAAATTATATCCAGAGCTGCTTATAAAAACCTGAGAAGTGAGCAAAATTTCAGCCATCATCTCGGCTTTAAATAAACTGACAAGTTCTGGTGGCTTTCTAATTTGTGAGGGCTTCATTACTGTTTGAATTAAACATGAAACATTGAAATTAAAAACAAACTTACTGAACAACACTGAAAACATCCAGCAAGTTTCTCTGAAAGAATCTAAAGATGAAAGCATCGATTTGCTTGGTGAGTTTGCATGGCTCTTGCACGTGCGTAAGCACGGTGACATGTGTAATGATACTTTTAATTTTAGTATTTGAAACTCCGTTAACTTGAAATCTACTTTTTTCCAATCCATACTGATAGAGCCAAAACCACAAAAATCAGTAATTTCTGTTGGATCTGCAGATACAAAGAAAAGGTACTCTGTTCTCGTACTCACTTTTGAATCATACGCTGACTGCTGAATAACTTCAGGGGCCATCCAAAACGGAGTGCCGACAAAGGTGTTCCTCTTAATTTGCGTGTCTGTCAGCTGCCCAGCAACTCCAAAATCAGCAAGCTTAACATCGCCTTGTTCTGATAACAAGACATTGGCAGCTGCCCAGGGGAAATAACAGAGTACCTAAATTAAAATACTGCTTTTAAGATTTCTAAAGGCTTTAACAAAGTAACATTTTAAATACGTTACACACCTTTTATATCCCTGTGAATTTTCTTCTCTGAGTGTAGGTAATCAAGACCTTTCAAGATTTCCTTTAGCATGGTAGCAATCTGGAACTCATCAAATGGGCCCGCACGCAGCTTTAGAGAAAAGACATTTAAATTTAGTCTTGTATCCAGTTTTCGCCTAATTATTGAATTAATTAAATCTTAAACTTAAAAGATTTTTCTACAGCAAAGAACTAACAATTCATGAAACATTCTGTTAAGCCTGTCAATGTTCTATCAGAGACAGCTGCCACTGGAACAATCATCTTCACATCCCCTTTATTGATAATACAGTGAAAACACTGTTAAGTTTTTAACCTACACAGTATGCACAGCATGCAATGTATATGAAAAACTAGAACTTTCCACAGTTTCCTACAGTGAGCAAACACAGCAGACTGAATTTTTCAAGAAACTGTTTATTTCAAAATCAATTCGTCTATCTGCTATGTTTTTTTCAATTTAATGATGCATTTTTCTCTTGTTCCAGCATTTTTTATTCCATGTTTGCTTCTGCATCAAGAACATAACATGCTACTATAAAGCTACTAATATGGAATAAGCATAAACTTTGCACATTAGATTGGTATGTAAATAAATCAGAACAAATTTAAGTTTGGTGATTCTGCTATTAAAAAACCAAACCAACAACATGGCACTTAAACAGAGAACACTAGTGGAATTTTTATTCCTCTAAAGGTTCCATGGTTTCGACTGTCACTAGTAAAAGCCATTTCACTGTTTCTGACAGTTCACAGATTATAAATTACTCAAGAGCGCTAAAGAGTAAATATCTCACAGCCCCCTTCTCAAGAAGACTAAGTTCCAGAGCTACAAACTACCATATGCTACACATAATTTTTGTGCTTTTCCATTCCCATAGCTGAGGTGATGTGATGTAATTTCATAAAGAAATTTAAATAGACTTGTGAGGTTAGGCACATACTTCAGCTCTTGCAGACAGGACCACTGTTAGCAAATATATAATTAACACCATTCTGTAATACTGAAGACATGATATTTTTCCTTCAGAATCCCACAAACAAAGACTGAGTTATATTATCTCACAGGAAAGGGTGGGTCTCTAAGTTTTACAGCAAGGCAGAGTACTGAAAGTCTGGGGAAACCACATCAACACACAGTGGGCTGTGCTCTTGTACTCTGAGCTACATCCTTCATGAATGCTACACTATCTCAAGTAAAAGGCGCTTTCATGCTTCACTGAAAATACCTGAAAATGGAAAAGCCAACACTTTTACCCAGTTAAAATTAGCTGTACTCTGTGGGCACACACTTCATTCATTTCTGAGAACAAATCCCAAAAGAAACATTTTTTTACTCAAGTGTAATGAATTCTACTGGGGGGAGGGGACAGGGGACGGATAAACAACAAAAAACCACCACATATGGCATGAACAGTACTTCTCATACTGAAAAAACACCATTGCCTTACATTTCACTGAGAAAAAAACCCAACAAAACAGATGCTTCCTAATGCTTAGAGACAAAGAGTAAAGACAAAAAAAATCAACATAAATTCAACATAACAGAACTACCATTCAAATTCACACTTTCTTGGAGCATTACAATGCAGCAGTGATGTAGTATCAGCTGCTTCCAGTGACTAGATTTTATAAAGAGACAGGAAAGCATAATGAAATAAGGTTCACTTAGTAGTAGCACTTATAATGCAAGTATATGTATATACTTACAAGATCCAAAGCTGACCCTCCACCTAAGTATTCCATTATTATCCATAGCTTTGTGCCCTGTAAAAGAAGGCATGTGTTGTTAGAAGTCCAAGGCTGCCATAAAAAAAAAAAAAATTACATATTTTGATACTGTTAGGAGTATTTCAATGTGTATTTCAATACTGTTATGAGAATGCAGATGCAGAGTTCCATTAATCACCAAGTCACATGTAATTACTTCTCATAGAATGATCACCCAACTCCTGTGCAAGATGTCTAAATATCAACTGAAGTTTGACTTTATTTAAAAATGCAACAATGCCTCCCCAGTTAATAGTCTTTGCTAACTGGTATCTAAAATTATTTCACCTAAAGGTGAACTTAAAGAAGTGATTTGGCAGTAGTTTAAATTTAAACTGTTTTAATGTAAGGTTGCAGTTCTTGCCAAAGACCATCTCTGCATTAATTATTAATCACAGCCATCTGTGATAGAGAAGCATTACAATTTTAATAGGAAACTCTCCTGTAACAACACCACACCTCTCATCTGAGGACAACACTCAGAACTTAAAAGTATGTTTGAACAAGAGTGTGACTGTGAACCTGCTTCAAAAGACAACAGAAACCTAAAGCCTAGTGAAGGTATCTGCCAGGTGTTTCTTCACCTACGTTGTAACTCTGCAAGTGTGTATCTGACGTGTCCATATGTTCCAATTTAAGTTGTCAGATCCAGCAAAAAGTGAGAATTGACAGCCCTTGAATAAGCTTGTACCCAAGGACTTGCATCCCACCACAAAACATGCCAGCTACCACAGGGGCAGCTCCAACTCTGAAATACAAAGAAGCACTACAACCATCACCCAGATGAAATTGCACCAACAAATCTCGAACTCTACAAAAACCAGGGGTTTTAGATCAGGGGGTTAAAATCGACCATTAAAAGGTCAAAGATAAGAACAATATAGTTAAGTATGACTTGAGGCACTTTTTTTTGGTAATTATTTCTAGTAATGTTGCAAAGTCCATATGCTCATTCATTATATGCTATTTGAGCCGGTGAACACTTGAGTTTCTGTGCTTTCTTTATGGAGGTGCCTCAACTACTAGAATACTAGAACACAAATTCTTCTAACACTGCTTGCAAGATGCTGACTTTACCCTTTGTATGTAACTGCAAAAGGTGGCTGGTTCATATAAACAAACCCAAAAAGATTTGGTATTGGATCTACAGACTGTTTGAACCTGCCAGAGTCCCCGCATATTTCAGAAGAAAGCAAAATATTAATCTATGGGGTACTACTCTACAAAATTCTGTGAATTAAACCATTTTTTTTATTTAAAATAAAAACAGATACTAAAAATACTCAACTGAACTAAGCCTGGTGAAATACCACACATGTGGTTTTAAGTCTCCAGCAAATATTTGCCTAGTTCTAGTTCTCTATAACAGAGAACAAGCTTATGGCAAAAGTACTTTTTTAAAGGCTCTTACATTCTACACCGTATGCTTCCCCACCCCACTGCCTGACTAGAGACAGAAATCTAAAGAAAAATCATCACGCAAATAAAGGTGCAGTTTATGAAAGCATCATATCCAATTACCTTAACAAAGTGTGCTCTATTAGATTTACACTGAATTTTAAAAAAAAACACACCACTTATGAAAGTCTATTCCAATATTATGAGGTCAACAAGGAAGGGCTGGTTAATTTTAGCAGTTTTTATAAAGTCCTATTTTGTTAGCTGAGAAGACCTGCAAGGAACTCCAGTATAAGGCAAACATTGTGGTTACTAGACATGTTTGGATGATTTGACTATTACTTGAAAACAGTATAGGGTGAAAATGAGTAAGTACTTTGTTTCTGAAATAATGTCTCAAAGAAATTGCTACTATCCACTGTAACCGGGTGGGGATATTTTCTAGCCAGGCATGAACCATTTTCCTAGCTATTTTAGGTCAACCAAGTATAAATAGACAATGTAGAACAAATAGTATCTTCAGATTGTCTCAAAGCTTTGCTGCAATAACTGCTGTAAGATTTTGATGGAAGTCTCTTGATGCTACTGTAAGAATTCTCCATATTCAAATCTGAAAAACTGGGAGTAACTTCAGGCTTGTTCTAACTGAAAAAGAAAAGAGCAAGCCCAGTGGCTGTAATAGTTACAAGGACAGATATTTAAATCCGTTGGCTAGAGGGCACAGACAGGGAAAACAATCATGAAATTTCAGTCATCAAGAGAAGACCTAACTCTATGGGATCAGATAGAAAGTACAGTTCGAGTATTTTATCAAGCTTCGCAAATTTGCATAAACAAAACATGCCAGAGTATGCTCCACAACCAATGCCTGGACGTGATGTTAACTGCAATCAAAGTGCAATACAGGATGAGGAGACAAATTAAGAACCTGGCCTTCCACAAATACGAAGCTACATACATCCAACATTAATATCTCTCCTGCTTTGGCAGGGGCGTTGGACTAGAGGATCTCTAGAGGTACCTTCCAACCCTGGGCATTCTATGATTCTATGATTCTATTTAAGTTATCTTACAACTACAAAAGCTGCATTAACACAGCTGTAAGCTTCCACAATTCTAGATGCATTTGTGAAATATAAAACATTTTACTACCATACACAAATGTGCTTATTACGGCAAGTTCTTTGCCTATGTATAAGCTTGTTCATCACCTATCAGTATGTTTAAAAAACACCAATCTTGTATTTTTTTTTAAAAAAAAATATTAACACCTAAGCTCTAAGATTAATTCAGTAAGAAACTCTAAAATTCAAGATACACCAGTAACCAAAACCACAAAGACATGAGGAGTCTGCACCTTTTTGTGTCACAATAACTCAAAACTGGCATCAGCTTTATCCCAAGAACGTCAGGGAAGCAGATAAGCTTTTTAAAAAATAAAGACAAGTAACACTGTACTGCTATGTAAAAATATTAAGGGGTTGTCCATATTTTTATAGTCACATTTACAAGCTGACCAAGCTGTAGCTAACGAGCAGCTAGGCTGCAGAACATAAGAGTATCTTACACAGCATCAGCACAGCTAAGTTACAAATTAGTAAGTCAAGTAACTGAAATAAAGACACTCCTCCCTTCCCCCTTTTAGCAGCAGGAGCACCCGGAAGAGCCTGCATGTAGCTGCTGAGCCTCAGGCTCTGAGCCTGGGCCGCTCCATCCCCATCAGCCACAAGGCTGGCTTGGCGTCCTAAAGCGCAAGGAAACTGTAACCCTGCAGAATAGGTACAAGAGAGACCGTACAAAAAGAAAAGCGCTCATCTGAAAGGCCTGCCATTAGAAAACCTTCACAGTTAACATCTTTTCTTCCATGTTCTAGTCATAAACAACTTTCAATTATCCAATAGCCTATCTTATAAGAGGAAAAACTGAAACTGACTACAAACTGATGACAAGAATGATCTTCTTATTCAAGGCTTACTTAAAACTGGCCAAAACCTAAGAATAGGTAGCAAAAGAAGATGTTCTGTTGCAGTTCAGTTGGATGAACTGAGGCACACATGAAAAACCTGAAGCCAACACATGGCCTCAGCTGCAGCTTCTTCAAAGTAAAAACTAAGAAACATAAAATGTGAAACAGATCTACATTACTCGACAAAGAAATATCAGTAAGTGTTGTAGGCAACCTGAATGCCTTTGCACTGAGGGTTGCTTTGGTATAGTCAAGAAAATACTAAGTCTCTTTGATATAAGCAGTGCAATTCTCAAAAAAATTCTAATGGCATTCCTAGACTTCAGAGGAAGCTACAGGCACTATTAATATACTTTAGGCAATTATTTTTATACCATAAGCATGATTCTGAAAGAGGGCAGATGGGCTCAACTGTTGTTTTTCTGTAAATAAATATAAGATGCAAAGGAAAAAAGAAAATTATCTTAAAATTTGAAATACCTTCTATTTACTGTATGATACCACCTAAGAAGACTCCACTGTGCCTTTTGCCACGGACTTGCCTATCCCGCATCGACCTTTTTAGCCATCAGCGCGCTTGTAGCAAGTGTGGGTAGAGCCCTTCCCATACCTTCGTTCGCGAAGCCTAGCCTTGCAGATGAATGTTCTTTTTAGCCACTGTCTTAAGGAAATACCTTAAAAGGTATTTCTAGGAATATTTTCAGTGTACTTTATATATGATAGTAAGTATTCACCAACAAACCTTTGGGACCCCTTGAATGGGATCTTCGTACCAGCCGTATTCACAGAGAACTGGAATTAATCATAGAATCATAGAAACATCAAGACTGGAAAGGACCTTAAGATCGTCAAGTACAACCTACAGCCCTACACCACCCTAACACAACATCTCTAAAGCCTAGGACTTTGTGAGAAATAAATGTTTCAATTTTCAGAATTTAACCTTGATGTTCTTTAACCTTTAATTATATAGTCATTTGGTACACAATTGCATTTATTTCACTGTTTCCAAGAGAAATTAAATCCTATATGAAGTACTACACAGATACTTAGGCTGACAGCTATTCTCATAGTAATAGTTAATAAAAAAGTGAAAAGCTATAGCAAGCAATTAAGTTAAAAAGCAGTAGACGGATACAACTATCAAACTACCTGTCATTACTAAAATGAAAAGCCAACATAAAAGATCTGCTGCACATTTAACAAAGCTAATAATG